AAAAAAGTTATGCTTCTTACTTTCTTCACAAAGGAGATAGTACGGTGTGTGTAGTCATGCCAGCAGAAGCGGAGGCTTTCAGGAGCAATTTAAAGCTTTCTCAGCAGTGAGGAAATGTCTGACACAATATTATTGTAATTGTTCATAATTCAATGTTTTATCTAAAGCACTTTGTTTTAATCATGAGTGTGTGCATGGACAGCATGGCTGACCTTGAACATCTAAATATAGACTGGTAGTGCCGGGGCCTTGGGTACCTACTATGTATGCAGAATAGGGCTGGGAATTGAGAACCAGTACCAAATTGTCCAATCCATGGGAATCGTATGCCACTGAGCTTTATCACTGTCTGCATATTGACAGTTGCTCATTGCATATGGCGGAGAGGAAGAAACAGTGCAAAAGCGTGGCTTCATTTCGTAAAGAAACTCTCTCTATATATATAACTAGAACTATAACTGCTCTCTTTTCTACACTGTGTTCAGACTTAGATAATAAAACAGTCAGGAATCAGTAAGGGAATTCCAATATCACAGTATATTGAAGCATAACCCCTGTATCAGGAATCGTGACACGTATCGTATCGGCAGATTCTTAGTAAAACACCGCCCTAGTGTCCGCTGTCCTCATGTGCCTTTAGTCACTTTTGTTATGACGTGAGCTAAATAAATGTGATTTACTAATATGATTTTTATCAGACAACCAAACTGGTTCAGGTACGTGTGGCAGAGATAGGAATTGGCAAATGATCAGCAGTGCATAACAGCAGAAGTGTGTTACGAATAGAAGAATTGTTTACAGAAGTTTTCATGAGCATTGCCAAGTGTGTGCTGGTTGGTGCTGGAGCAGTGTAGAGCAGTGTAGAGCAGTAATACAGAGCCGCTCTGGGTGACACTGGTGTACCGAGGCCTTGTGATGGTCCTGATGGAGCTCATCATGAAGCTGGTAGCGGACACCCACCGATGCTCTCACTGCTTAATCAGTCTTCCCTCTCCTTTCCTCCCTGTCTCTGTCTCTCTCTCACACAGAGAAGTCTGTGTGAGTTGGACTGAGACTGCAGGTGGGAGGAGGAATGAGGCTGAAGTAAAGCAGCAGACACACTGCTTTGTTTGCTGTTCTCATGCACATAGGTGCAGTAACATGGGAAAGATCTCTTGATACGATTGTTAGTATAAAGGCACCTAGCAGATGTTTGATTTCATAACATGGTACATTCATGGACTAGACAAGTGTACAGTGTGTCGAGTGAACCATTCACTCTACACACAGCACTGGGAACTCTATTGTGTTTTGGTGTCTGAAAGTTGAAGCGTTATCAGTGTTTGTTTTTTCTGTGTCAGTGGAAGATATTGTTCTGAAACCTGCTGCTTCTCACCAGCAAAGACTGTAGTGTTGATATCGGAAACTACGTGTTGTTGAACCACAGGGTGCTGGATTTGAGTGGCTTATCCCTCTCATAGCAGGGGGCAGGGGGCAGTAGGTGTTTGCATAAGGTGTCTGTGTGTCTGTGGGGGTTGGAGGCTCTGCAGAAAGTTGCTGATCCATCACGTATTGTTGTCAGTAAACTGCTCCATCAACATGGAAACATGGTTGACCTGCTTGCTTGGATGACAGGTTGTGAAAGATTGAGTCCTGCTGGTTTTAGAAACCCTTTTTTCCACCAGTTTGAGGGATGGTTTCAGTTTCTTTGCGTTTCAGCAACCAAAGAAACTGGTTCCAGGGTGGCACCCACATCACTTTGCTGTTCTAGAACCAGTAACCACTTACAACAGGGGCTGGGGGTGCCTGTTTAGCTGTTTAGCACATAGATGTTATGAACATAACGCTGAGCTATCTGGCTAGCATGGGTCAGCTATTACCCAAGCAAGTAAAGCTACTAATTCATTACATCGCTTACTGTTGGGAAATGCAAATGCTGTCTTCTAAAAACAATAATCCAAAAGATTCTTGCCACTATCTAAAAGGTTTCTAGCTGTAGACATTACAGGTTTTTATTTGTCCTATCAGCAACTGATAACACTTGTTGCACTGTTAGTGAAGCCGTCCAAGAGATTTGCAGAGAGCCAGCTTCTCTCGCTGTCAACACTGAGCGGGTGTAGTCATAAGAAGCAGCTCACATATTGTCATGTTTGACAAACTAGTTTTTCTGGAGTGTACCTCTCTTCCTGGGAAAAGGTGTGTCTGTTTCTACAGCCACCAAAACACCATTCAGTTTAATAGGGATAGAGTCTGCATGTAATGACAACAATGACATGAGTATTTAGTATGCAATTATTATTTAGTGAGTAATCCACAACAGCTAAACTACTAGAGCTCATGTGATCATGATCATGTAAGAACATGATGTAATTGCTCTTTAATCCTTTGACTTTACAATAACTACATGCTAACATAATATCTGTTTGTAAGTTTAATATCTTCAATGAAGATTCAACTTTAAAATCTTAACTATGTATTTAACTTTAACACAGTTGTGGAAAAATGTGAAATACACTGTGAAACAATTTAACAGTTGAAATCTACAATAGCTGTGTTTTCTGTATTTGCAGCCCAGCAGTGTTTTTGTATGCTGATGAATATGCTTTCTTCATTTCATCCATTGTGTCACCGTACAAAAGTTAAAAGGACAGTTTTCATGTATGTGTTGCAGACATTCCATTCTCGACTAATATATTATGTGGCTAAAGAAAGAATAAAAACATTAAGTTGATGTAAAACATTTATTATCAGAAGTTTGCCTCTTCCATTCATTAGCTGTTTATTTATCAAGATTTAATCCGAAATCACAAGGAGATGCAGAGAACTTCTCTTTCTCACACCCTCGCTCTCTTCTCTCTCACACTGTCTTTCCCACAACCACACACACAAACACACACAAACCAATTTCCACACATATAGCAGTTGTACAGATTGTGCAGTAAGGGAGACAGTGGACAGGGTTATTGTAGTTTGTCTTGTCAGCCTTGTGCTGGAACACAACAGTAATCTCTAAATCAGCACCTCTACATACACACAGTCTCACAATGGAACACAAAGGGTCATGAAAACCCACACTTTCCTTGCTTACACACACTCTGTTTTCCATAAAAAACACACAACCACACATAGAGACAAAGGCGTCTTTGTCCTGTTGAGGTCAACTGTTGTCACGGTGCTGTTGAACAGAGTCAGTCTGTCGTAGTGTCTGAATGGTGCTGTCACCCTATGTCTCAGCAACACTAATACGGGGCCATTCATAATTATTAACAATAAAATCACCAGGCTCACACACATGTGCATGTGCACATACGCGTGCATCATGGGAGAAGACACATGATTTGAATGAAAAATGGGAGAATCGTGACGGTGCCAGAGTTGTAATGACAGCGTGTTACTGTAAGTCTATTGTCTGTTATTACTACAGATTGTCAGTGTCAGCTGTCAGAATGAGTTGTGGCTGTAAAAGTTGGTGCTAATGTAGATGAGCATTAGGCTGCTCTGCAGGGGGGTTTATTCTCCAAAGGCGTCCGTAGATTACATCACCGTCCTTCCTCTTGATTTCCGCATGTTGATGTCTGTTTGTCTATAAGTCAGCATGACAGCATGGCAGAGGGATGAGGGCCTTGAAGGAGAGATGACAGAGAAGGGATGAGTGGAAGGGATGACAGGAGGGAGGATGGGTGCGTTGAAAAGCTGGAAAAAAAAGATGGCAGGAGATGGAGGGGCAGCCAGAAGCAACGATGAGTGATGACAAGTCAGCCCTGCTTTGAGGAATGCAAAATGTGTGTGCGTTATGTGTTTAATTTCTCCTGGCTATGTGTACACTTAAGTCATGCCTGCAGTGGTTTCCAAAGAGTGCATGTATGGGTTACATGCACATGTAGAAAATAACAGGCACAAGGATGTACAGTGTCAGTGGGAAAACCCTCAACTAAACTCAGCGAATAACCTAACTGCATAAAGCAGAGTTCAGGCATTTAGACTTTTTGGACCTCTGTTGGTGACCAGTAGAAACTGCAACAACAGGAGTAGACTCTAGTGATCATTGAGTCATTGGTAATGAGAATGGCCAAAATGTCCTCGCTCTTTCAATATTTTATGGCATTTTATTACCTGCAACAGTAAAAACCCCACATATCTGTCCTTTAAAGGTCTAGTGTGTAACATTTAGGTGGATCTATTGGCAGAAATTAAATATAATTAGTGCTGAGCAATATACTTAGTAAACCAGTATACCGGTTATAATCTCCTGGACAGTTTTCATATACTACCGGTGCATAGCTGAAACAATGACTGTAACTCTTCAAAAGGAAGCACAAATATGTCATATGGTTCTTATATCTTTTTTATTTTTGAGTGCTGCATCAGTTTCATGCATTCTGATTCCTTCATATATTGTATAATACTCCTAACAGTAGAATAAAATTTAAGAAACAAAATCAGATCTAAATAATAACACAATATAATGTTTTTAGGTTACTGTCATCTTTTTTCAGCTGCAGAAAATATTCCATCACAGATCGCTTATATGTCCTCATAAATTTCTCAGTTTCTAAGAGCAAATCTCCACTTTCTGCTGATAGTGTAACTGTTAGTAAATGTTATAGGTTGTTACAGGTAAGCTAGAATGGAACTGTCAATGCAGAGGTCTCCTTGTACTGGCAATTTCTTTTTCTAGAGACTTGTTCATGTGTTTGAGTCTTTCTTTCTGAGTGTTAGATTCTAAAAGCCCATAGGAAGTTGCCAAGCAAATGAGATGCATTATCTTCATTGGATTAGAGTTCGAGCATCCACATCTCCACGGCTGATTCACTGTGTCTCTGTGCAGGACAGGACTGTGCATGACCAGCTTAGTCTGTAAATTCCCAACCCCAATCATTCTCGTGCTTCACAGATGTTTCTTAGACACTCTGGTGTAAACCCTGTCATTTCTCTGTGTCAACATTCTTTACATACTTTGCTAGACATAAAAAGAAAATGTGCAGTAAGCTGTACAGTAAATCTTTTTTCTTTTTTCACAGAACATCAGAGCACCTGAGATCTGATGCTTCCTGCCATCACCATGGAAACGGAGGCCAGTCACATGCTGGAGGCGGCACTGGAGCAGATGGATGACATCATCGCAGGTAAGAGCTAAGAAGTTATATGCAATATTAATAATAATAATTATAGTAATAAAAATAATGCTATATACACTTTAGTTTAGATTGTGGTTTGGTATTAAGAACCTAACTGGTAGCAGTTTGTGTGTCATTCAGAAATGTGTTTTTTGCTAAAACTTAATTAGCTTTGATTACTCAAAGCAAAGTCTGATCTAAGTGTGTTCACTATGGATGTGTCAGTGCACTGTAGTGTTGACAGTATGGTGGGTTAGAGATAATGTGGGGCTTAAACTCACTGCCAAACAAAACCAAACTTTCAGGGGTTTTTCCATACAACAGAAATAATACAGTCAATATTGTCACTTACATTACGGACTTTTGATGTTTGCCCAGACTGCAGTAAGCACCTGTTGTATGCACGTCTTCATCTGATCAGCTCACTGTGGGTGCTCTTTCTTTTACTGACTATAACATAGTGGAATATGTCCATTTCTGCATGTAGTCCCATTTTTATGCACCAAGGATTTAATTTAAGGCTGCTAACTTTATTGACTAAGTTTGCAAGGCACTGTAACTGCCTCACAATCAAAGCCTTGCAATAGTAGAAAGCAATTAATATTCCAAATATCTGAACAAGCTTGTATACACAAACAACTGTGATGAGAGCGGTTGGGTACCAAAAGAAGCAAACCTGTGGTGGCTGTCTACTGAGACCACTCAGTAGAGACATAATGTCAAGGTTGTTCTCACCCTCACCTTAACCGAGAAAGACCTTGTGGTCGAAACGTTGTCAAGTCCATGCAGAATTAAAGAAGAACAGGATGCAAGATAGCAGTGTGCGGGTACTTATTTTGTTTGTATAATTTTGTACACACGAGAAATTAAGCAAAAGGTGTCTTGAAGGATGTCACGTAAGTTGCAACAATATCTGCAATATCTTTCAGGTTTGAAATTATCATGCATTGTGAGTATAATATGCATTTCCCAGGGCTTATAAGTTATTTATTTACTTTGTTTTCACCTGTTATAAGCTGGGAATATTTCTTTCATTTCCATCATAAGCCCAGTCAACATTACACATACAAATCTGGGGATTTAGGGATGCGAGTATGTATGGAATTGTAATTAGTAAAGAGAATTCATTTTGAGCTCGGCTGTAGTCGTCATTTTTGGTTATACCTTAAGTACATTTTGACCATAAGAAAACTCCCAGTTGGACCTTTTCTGATGACAGCAGGTTAATACGTGGTAAACAAGCGTACTTCACCTGTGACACTGCCTCATTTTCTGTGTGTGTTTTATACATGTGCATGTTTGCGTGTGTCTTTCTGTGTGTAACTGGGTTCATGTTTGCTGCAGCCAGTTCAGTCATGATAAACTAAATTGAACCAGTGGTCCACTGACAGTATGTGGGAAAACAAAGGTTGAGCAGAGCAGAGTATCTCTTCAATCACAGAGGAAAGGACAGCAGGAGAGACTGAAACTGGTGACTTCGGGTCATTGTGAATTCCTCCAAATTAGAACGTTTTCTGTGACTGATAATTACCAGATATGTGAAAAATCACATTTTCGTCTCAGTTCCCTGCACTCCAGCATCAAAGGGTGTGTCACCTCAGCCTCCTGTATAGCAGAAATGGACAAAAGAGGGTTTACAGGTACCACTGTCGCATCTGAAGCTCATCAAGTCGCTGCTGTTTGCCCAAAACGCACTGACCTCATCGAGCACTCTGAGATTTATGTTCCGGCTCTCAGTGACCACAAATAGAAATACATTAAAAATCCCATTAGCGATAACATCAGCCAATCACTAACAAGGATATTAGAGACACTTATCAACAGAACTGAGATATCTCGGTCATATTGCATTCCATGATCAACAGTTCTTTTCTCTCTGGTTAAGCATCTTGTGGGAATACTGGTGAAAGCTCTCCACTGGTTAATAACTTTGATATTGGTATTATTGATACGCATGTGTATATATCATTTCCAGTCCAAAACAATAATGTTACAGTATTTACACTATCTGCACAAACAGTATACTATTAACATTAGTATATACTGTGGTACATATGTTGATTTAATATTGTTTTACCACACAACTTTAATAATTTAAAGAGGTGAGAAATAAATAAAATAGCACATGGCGTTCCCTGATTGAAACCATAATATTTCTCAATCAAACAATAGTTTTCAAAGTGGCCACCCAGGAGCATGTTAAAGGCAGTAGAAGAAGAAGAAGATGCCAGCTCTGTGGTGTTCAGAGGCTTGAGCACCTCAATAGTTAATGTAATTACTTTTTTGTTTTAGACCAATTCTACAAATGTCATGAGTTATAACAGACAGTAAATGTCTGTATTTTTATATGAGCACCCAGAACCTTTCACCCAGCAGTGGTGGGTTAAATATAACTGCCATTGACCTCCCTGTAGAGCAAATAGTAATCACAGTATTATATTATAAATGTACAACAGATCTCCAAACCTGACACTCAAACCAATGTCAAATAGACAACTTGTTCTCGTACTACTGTTGTTCTGTAACTGTGCTGGAGTTTGCATTTAGACTGAATTAGCAGTGCGTGAATAATATTTTCCTCTGTGTGCTCTGGTCCAAATACACTGAAGTCTGCATGGATGGATGGATGGATGGAGAGATGAATGGGATAATGGTTCCATATTCTGTTTGTTTCTATATTCATACTGTACACACTCAATTGTTTGTTTATACAATGTGCAGCAAATGCAGCAGTGAGTTAGTGCACAATGTCCTGCTGTTAGTACTCCATCCACTTTGTGCTTTTTGAGACTCTATTCAATTCAAAGATGCTTTATTGCCATGGCCATATTGAAACAGCATTATCAAAGCATATTGTGTAAGGTAAAACTTAACATTATGTTACAGTAGCAATACAGTCCAAAAACAACAAAAAAAAGATTTCTTAATTTCCGTGCAGGCTGGAAATTTGCATGAACACAACACAAACAAACATGGAGGACAGTGAATGTGACACAGAACAGGGTCATTCCAGCCAGTCAAGACAAAATGAGATGTACCTAAAAGAGTGGCTATCCCTGTCGCATTGACATGGTTTGGGTCAAAATTCTGACACTTATATATAAAAAATAGTATATCACTCAAAAGGATGTCTGACTTAACTTTTAGTTCTTCACTTACTCTCAGGCTCTGTTGTACAGAGATATTCAAGCACAGGTTGTTTTCATTATGTGCTCTTTGTTATTTTTGGACTCCATATACTGTATGGAGAGACTGTAATGTGTGGCTGTTTTTTCAGTCACAATTATTTGAGTGCATCCAGATGTGTGTGTGTTGTGTGTGTGGGGGGGGGGGGGTTCCAGGGAAAAGATCCAGGTGACACATAGACATTTTGGAAACATTCAGGAGGATGTATGGCTCTGATTAAATTCTGCTTCTCTAATATCCAAAGCTTCACTCTAGGTCTTCTTACAAATTGGCTGCTAATACACCTAATAGATTAGTTTTGCGTTGCAGTCACAGTTCAGTTTTGAATAATGGTATTAATAATCTCTCTGTGATATGTAATTGTCTGTCCTCTCCGCTCCTCTTCCACATGCTCTCCAGGTTCCAAAGCAGCAGCGGTTGAGTTTTCGAACAGCATGTATGACCTGGGTTCTCCCATCAGCACTGGTCCACTGCAGGTCGTTCAGTTAGCTGAGGACCTCAAACTCGCCTTGGAGCTCCAGCCCAACCAGGAGGGAAGAGACAGCCTCAGAGCACAATTACCTACAGAAACAGCACAGGCTCTAATAGACTGGCTACGGACTGGAACTGTAAGTACATTGTGTGCTACGCTTTAAGTCAACCTCCATCTTAACATGGCATTGTTGTTTCTTAATTGTAGTCTTAAGATAATGTTGGCTTTCTGCAGGGTAGTGTTAATTCTAATTGCGGCTACGTCAACTGGAGATGTCACAATTAATTAATCTGTTTCATATAAAGCTGCATCAATATGCATCTGTAGTGAAGTCTTTTTAATGAGCACTCCAAAAGAATTTGATTCCAGTTTGTGTAACATTATTTCAGCATGGTGGATTGTCTGTGCTTCTTGCCGTTGTTGATCTTCTTTGGTGTTCATTGTTGTTAAAACGTGTGAAGAAATAGCTGAAGATGAGCATCATTCCAGAGTGTAGATTATATCTGGTTCATTTTTTCAAGCACGAGAAACTGTTTCCTTATTCCCACAAAGCATTGCGTTTTATTTTCTTCTTTACAGTCTCTACACACTTAGTGAACCACACTTCTCTTGGAGCTTTGGCTTGCTTAGTCAGAGCCTCCAAGGTTTGAATGGCATTTGTTCCACATGCACAAGTCCTGACGCACCGAATCTTGTTATTAATTTAGTTAGTAGATGACTTGAATTTAAAAAAAGTCGCATAACTCATAAAACAAATGGCCTTGGCTGTATGTTGTAGCTCATTTTTCCTGAAGCTTAATAAGCCTAATATTATATGGAAGAAAATAGACTTGGAGTGTAAAATACACTCTGGGGGCGCATGTAATGCATGTAAAACACAGCCTGCTTAGACAGCTGGGTTGATTAGATTAGGAGTGTATCTGTTCCATCAGGTGTGCGTTAGCCGGACGAATGAAAAACATAGCCGAAATGCCTCCTGTGCCATGCTAGCTGTGAAGCTGTATTTAGGCACAGCAGTGTTTTGAGCAAAATGCTAATGTCAGCAACTGTTCAGCAGTTATAATTTACCCTATTCATTATTGTAGTTGAATATGTTAGCATGCTCAAATGTGCTAATTAAACTGTAAGTGCAGCTGAGGCTGATGGGAAGGTGGTTAGTTTTGCAAGTATACACAAAATGATCAGACAAAATTTTGACCTGATGGTGGCGCTAGATATAAATTCAGAGGATTACTTCTGTGATTGATTACAATTCATCCTGAGGGAAACATGCATGTCTCTTCCAAATTCCATGGCAGTCCATCCAACAGTTGTGAAGACATTTTCACTCACCACAAAGCCACAAATGTGAACTTCATGGTAGCACTAGAGGAAAAGTAAGGGATCACCAAAATCCAACTATGAAAATCATGAATGTCTGTACAACCTTTTAAGGGATTCAATCCAATAGATGGTTTAGAAATATCAGTCTGGACCAAAGTGATGAAGTAGGCTGACTAGCATTGCCATCCATAGAGCCACACTGACAGCAGGGCTAGAGAGACAGCTTGCAAACCTTTTTAGATTTTATATTTCTGTGTCAACGGCCAGAGAGTTTACAGAGCTGCTCATTTTAAATTTGTGGTGAAACTCTCACTGTCCTCAGAGATTACACAGCTGGGTTAGAAATCGCACTGTGTGCTCAGTGTACATGTCTCTGTGAATAAAAGTTGTGTTCATTTGCACTCAGAACTGGATGCAGTGCCTGGTGATGCACAAGTTATTAAGTATATTCATTGTGATGTTTTAGAAGTTGAGGGTCTCTGAGCAATGGAGTAAAACGTGCAACATGCTAACCAAAAGAACCAGCTTTTTTATGTTGAAAGTGCTCCACGATCCCAGACTCGGGTCCCAGAGGACCATGGTTCTCCATTCGCTGCCAGGAATGGAGAATAAAATCGTGGAAGAGAAAGGGGGAGGTGTCTGCTTCATGGTCAATAACCAGTAGTGCTCATATATGGAGATTATGGACTTACAAGCCAGTCTCTAAACTCTTCACTCAATAGAGACAGAGAGACAGCCACAACCAATCCTAAGTCTTTAGGGCTGTGACGTGGAAGTTGTGTGCTTGTAAAAACTGTCGTACCATATAACGTTGCACGGGATATTCATTTTCAAGATGATATCTTTGCCCCAATTGTCTTTAATGTGCTCCCGGGTGGCTACTTTGAAAACTATTGTTTGAGAATATATTTAAACTGTGATATTTCATTTATTTCACACATCCATTCACAGATTCACACATAATTTGTTTATTTACATGATGTGTTTAGTTGTGATAGTGTTTTCTCAGTAGAGGGACAGTTACAGCGGGGTCACACACTGAATGGTCAGAGGGAGAGGAGAGGAATTTAGCTGCTGTGCTACAGAATAGCTATTCTCTGCTGCAGTAGGTTTGCACGTCTCTGTGAGGATGAACTTTGGTCTCTGTCCCAGTCTTACACCAGCCTCTTCATCTATTCATTTGTTTTTTATCAGCTTTCTTTCTATTGTTTAGTTCAGTTGCAATGGCATTGTGAGCTGGACAGGAACAACCTTTAAAATGTTTCCGATATTGTTTGTACTAATATTAACTGTTTAAATCATACTTAAATATATTAATATGAATAAATCCAAACCACACCAGCTTCAAAGTTCAGAATTTCTTTTGCAGAAATATTCTATTTGCTAACCTGAGGTAAAGCTGCTGTCATCATCAGTGTGGTATGTTTTTAATGTTGTGTTATAACGTCAGAGTTTCAATTTGAATATAACAGAAACCTTGAGTGTGCATAAGTAAGGTAGCCACCTTTTGCAGCAATTACAGCTGCAAGTCGCTTGGGGTATGTCTCTATAGGCTTGGCTGTCTAGCCACTGGGATGTTTGCCCATTCTTCAGGGCAAAACTCCTCCAGCTCCTTCAAGTTGGATGGGTTCCGCTTGTGAACAGCAATCTTTAAGTCTGACCACAGATTTTCTATTGGATTGAGGTCTGGGCTTTGACTAGGCCATTCCAACACATTTAAACTTTTCCCCTTAAACCACTCAAGTGTTGCTTTAGCAGTATGCTTAGGGTCATTGTCCTGCTGGGAGGTGAACCTCTGTCCAAGGCTCAAATTCCTGACTGACCCAGGTTTCCCCCAGAATTGCCCTGTATTTAGCGTCATCCATCATTTCTTCAGTTCTGACCAGTTTCCCAGTCCCTGCCAATGAAAAACATGGGAATGGTGTTCTCGGGGTGATGAGAGCTATGGGGCTTGCGCCAGACATAGTGTATTGATGGCCAAAAAGCTCAACTTTAGTCTCATCTGACTGGAACTAGAATACCTTCTAATATATGTTTAGCTGCCCACATGCCTTTTGGCAGCAACACCAAACGTGCTTATTTATAAATTTTAACTTTAATCTTTTTAACATTTTTTGGCCACTCTTCCGTAATGCCCAGTTCTGTGGAGTATACGGCTTAATGTGGTCTTACGGACAGATACTCCGATCTCTGCTCTGGAGCTTTGCAGCTCCTTCAGGGTCATCTTTGGTCTCTTTGCCTCTCTGATTAAAGCCCTCTCTTGCCAGGTTTGTTGTCGTGCCATATTCTTTCCATTTTTTAGTGATGGCTTTAATGGTGATGCATGGGATGTACGCACACAACACTTTTCCATTATTTATGAATTTTTGAAACAAGGTATTTTTTCATTTCACTTAACTAATTTGGACTATTTGTGTATGTCCACTACATGAAATACAGATAAAAATCCTTTTTAATTCCAGGTTGTACAGCAACAAAATAGGAAAAATGCCATAGGGGTGAATACTTTTGCAAGCCTCTGTAATACTGTACAAAGACTGATTCTGTGATTCTGACAGTCACCATGTTTTCATTGCCATACCCATCATTGCTCTGACACAGTGCCAGCTGCTTCTACAGTTACAGTGAAGGAGGGAAGGGAACAAGGAGAGAGGTTAGAGTTGCATTAAGTTTTCCTCAGAGACACCATTACAACTCGACTATTATCAACTTCCTGCGCTGATCTCCCTCCCTCACACCCTCTGTCTGTCCTTCGTGGCCTTTCAGCCGCTTTAACTTCTCTGTTTACAGCAACCCTCACTATTTTACCTCTCTCTCTCTCTCTCTCTCTCTCTCTCTATTTACTATCACTGTCCAACGTTTTCCCTGCATACTGCTACTCTCCCCCCTTCCCCTCTCATACTCTGCTTGTTTGGACACCCTCCCTCTACTTTCTGACGTGATCCTGTTTGTAAATGAGGTACTTAGTGTAGTAGTCAGGCACTCAAGGCTCTAACAAGAGGATTCGATTGCTCAGAACTCATAAGGTAAGCTCAAACTGCTCAAACATGGTGAAAGAATTCAAAATGTCTGGGTTTTTTAGCTGTTTTGAGACATTTTGACTGATATAGTAATTTAGCTTTTTTCTTTTATTTTTAGAAAATTTACACAAGTGTTGTTTTGAATTTGTGAATGCTTTCTGCTGAATTCACTGACATGCAGCTGTTCCAGATTCAGTTGTATGTTTGTTGCTGTTGCTGAGTGTTGTCCTGCAGAGGCTGCTGTCTTCTGCTCAGAAAGCAATATAGGATTTAACACACTGATTCAGACGGTTGAGGCTGAAAAGGCAAAGTGAATCTTGGATCCAGTTCAACAGCCTTTTGAGCTCCTACATTGTTTCAACAGCAGATGTCTCACATGTTGCACACATTCACCGGCCAGCCCTCCCTCCCTCCAAATCTTTCTTACTTTGATTCCTCCAACTCTTTCTCCCCCCTCTCTTATTCACTCCTCCCTTCCTCCTCCATGCTGTCCTTTTTTTTGCACTGATGGATTAGCATGCAGTGTAACGTGATGGTGTTGTCTTTGTTCGTTCACTTTATGTTTTCTGAGCAGGTATCATATAGAGGAGGCAGGTTCAGTTGATGGAAAAGCTTGAGGGAATTTCAAGGAGAAGCAGGTTGTGAACCTGTTCAGGGCCTGTGTTTGTTTCCCTTGAAGCCATATGTTAATATAAGTGAAATGTTTATTATACTTGCAAAATATCAGTGTAATGTCCTATAGGGATTTATGCATGGTTTTGGTTTTTTATATTTTTAACGATAAAAAATACCT